GGAATATTCAACTAAGCCACGTGAGAGCGACGTTAAACAACTTTTCTGCCTTTTTGGATAAAGCTCAACTTATCGTCACGGAAAAGAAAGGGCTTGTGACAGTTGGAATATCAGTCTTCCTTACATTTACATGATGAGTCCATTTCTGGCATCATTCGTTTTATAATGTTAGCGGTGTGGCGCTAATTTCTATCGCCATACCAGGATAAGAAATTTCTTATGTTTAGCGGCAGCGTCGACAGCAGCTACATGGTAAGCATAGTGTTAGTCTACTGTTTTCTTCCATCTGCACGCTATTCGCTTATGAACATCGGAGTGACCCGGACGAAGGATCGAACCGGGACCTGTTGGTCTGAACCTTAGGACTAAGCAACTCCAATCTGAAGCAACGTGCCATAAATTCCTTGCTCAAGGACAAAGAATGTTCCTCCGAGGGAGTGGAACCGAACCCGACGCCTCTCAAGACAAACGTCTAAGGCGCTAAGCCACCGCGCCCTATCTTCAGGAGCTAAATTACAAATGCACATAGTTATCAACACAAAATGCACAAAGATACAGTGCATAAGATATTTTGCTGACGGTTAAGGAAACGAAAGTTTTCGATTGCCAGTCTAATTAAGCATAATTACAGGAGATATGCAATAGGTCATTAGCAACTTCGAATCATCAGAATAAATCAATTTTCTTTGAATATGAACCTAACAGGAAGAAAGCCATTTTTACAAACTAAGATTTCACTCATGGATAAAAATAGGACAACTTTTTATATATCGTAAAAACAGAATTCAAATAAGTAGAACGCTGATTTGCAGCAAAGACATTTTGCGTTCTGATAGCAACGGAACCTGAAGATACATGAACTCCGTTATCTACGCCAAAATACCAATATGAGTTTAAGAAGTTATCTGAGGGTAAGATACTGTTTTAGCTTACATATCAGTGATCTCTGAACTCATTTTAGACTAGTTGCCTCAGAACATAAGGGGGAAAGACTTCATCCTTAAAGGAATGGTACTGATAACTTCAGTCACAACAACTATACTACACTATAAAACACACAAAGGTAACTTTATTTGGAACAGAGGTGGCATGGCGCATACCTCGATAAGTCGCTGTGTCTCAGTGGTAGAGTGAGCCATTCATTCCATTCGTACCTGACAGGAAATGACTTGTATGATGTCAGCACGGGGACACCGACCGGTCGGTTTTCACAGAAAACCTGGCACTGGATGTAAACATTGTTGCACACCTTTTCCTGCATGGTAGCGCAAAACTGAAGATCAGGATCGTCGATGATTTCGCGTACGGGCGGCTTCTTGAAGCTGCCTTCCAAGGCTATAACCTTGATTTGGACAGGCGTGTTCACGTCGCATGTGTAAACGTAATTCAGATGATCACTCATTACCAGAATTCTGTAAAGAAGGAATCCTCTTCTCAGTACGTCTGAAACACGATTTATAGAAGGGCAAAGCAAAAGGGATTTTTCAGTTATTATACCCAAACATTAAAATACGTTCTGAATGTCCAAGCCGTTTAGTTATCATTTAGTCTACCATTACTTGATGTCTTAATAATTAACTCTGGTAATTGCTAAAAAAACTACAGCTTATGGTAAACCTACTAACACTGACAAATTTCGAAACTTTAGAGCAGATAATCATTTAAACGTTATGCGGTTGCAGCTTTAATAGACCCAGCCTCTGATAATCTGCAGTTATGAATTTCTTAAAGACGAAACAAAATATATAAAATTAACCATTTGCAATAACAATAACTGTTCAGCTAAATTCGTTATTAACATTATAAACCGTAGAATAAGCCACTTTTAATTTATTTGTAACACTAATAAGGCTAATAATAAATCATATTTAATTCTACCGCATTAAAAAAACGTCAGTGAAAAGCACAAAGATGACTTAACATTAAACATAATATTACTATTACATATAAAAGCTCTAATAAACTTAATGCGTCATTAAATAATTCTGAGAATAATAACTCTATAGGCTGGGTTTACAAATTAGAATGTAACTGTGGGAAATACTGCATAAGAGAAACAAGGAACGTCGCCAAGCAGAGAACATGGATAAGTGCGAAAGAGCATGAACGACAGGTGACAAGGAAGCATTCATGAACAAAACAAAGCTCCCCCCTCAAGTAAAGTCAAGGAACAATGTCAGAAAACTTCCGAGATTGTGCAACATTCGGTCAAGCAGTGACAATCCTCCAACAGAGATCAACATTTCAACAGCAACAGATAGTCCTTTTTCTTCATATGGCGTCACATGAGTCAGTAACTTCATAACAAAGATTTGTCCAAAGAACTGCTATTTCATAAATTCACGATGCAGGAAGAATCTGTCTGTATTTTCTTCTTCTGAGATTCTGAAAATGACTATATGGGAAAGGCCCACATCATTAAAACAAGATGAAACGCATTGCACAAAACTGAAATTCTAGTTCAGTTTCTAGTTCTAATTCTTGCCGAAACAGTGACGTCTGAACAAGCGATTGTGTTTATAGCATGTTTATAACTTTCTGATAACTGAAGAATTAAAAGTATATAAAAAATTTTTTTAAATTTGCATGCAACAGCATTAATACTTAATAACATCCAATTCATACTATTACAAAATAAAATTGGAAATTCTTCCGGCACAGAAATGGATGCAACTTTCAACTCATAATGGCAGTTCACAACACTAATTTTAAATACAATCAATCGAGAAAAGAACGTCAGAAGTCAAACAGTTAGTCGGCTAGATGGTTCAAATACTGTCATTAAAAACGAGTCGTCATCACCCATCGGGAATTTATAAGGCACCTCATTATTTCAATAACCGTCCTAAATTAAACTGGATCAATAATTACTTAATTCTGACGTCTACGAAAATTAAAGAATGAATTAACCAACACCACATTTTGTCTGACGAAATCTAAAAATTAGCTACAGTAATTGACAATAACTTCATAGGTACAAACAAAACCAGGAGAGAAGCATACGCTTCACTTAAAAATACATTACAGAAACTATTATGGTGCACATTTTAATGAAAAAAGTCCTAAACAATTTTATTAAATATAGCGCAACAAAATGATGAACGGGTTATTTGTTTTCCTACCAGTATACTAATTTTTGAAGCGCCTTTCGATATCATACGGTGAAAGACATGCAGGTAATTGGTCTTACGATCTCATGGTTGGAGGAAAGTAAAACAGTTGACTCTCCAAGATTTTCACGCTTCGGACCATCCAGTCATGAAACCTAGTATCATCAATATACTGATTATTTGGTTTGGTGACGCATAACAAATAAAGGTCTGCATATCGCAGAACAGCGATAAATGATCAGCTTTCCAAATCTGATTTCACGTCGTAGAGTGCAGCTCTTAATCATAGGTATTTTTTCGATTAAAAAGTCTGCAGCGGTAGAAGGTTTTCATTGAAAAAAAAATTTGTAGACTTTAGCAACCAACTACAATTAACTTACAATTCGCTTTCTTCATCTAAAAGGTGAAAATAATTTATAACTTCATAGTGACGCTTTTTTAAGTAAGATAACCATGTTATAATTTTTCTCTAAATTTCACCATCACCATCATAATGACCGCTTCTCCTATCGGGTCGCGCAAGACAGGCACGTCAAAGAGTACTTCAAATGTTCCCAATCCTATGCCAGGCTCTGAGCTTCGGCAGAAGACAGCTAGAGTCTAGAACAAACTCTTTCCATATATTTGCACCAGGTCGATCTTGGCCATCCCCTGGACCTTCCGATTGTTGGTTGGGCAAGAAGCAGTTGCTTTTCCCTCCTTTCTGGAGGCATTGGCAGCACATGTCCAAACCATCGCAGCGGTAACTTCTTAATCTGAAGAAGCAGCGGCTGTACACCAAGCTCTCGCGCATGCCTGCATTCCGGACCATGCTAAGACCCTCAAGGCCACTGACTTATCTAAGAAAACCGAATTGAACTGCGTGTACCCGGACACAAAATTTCCCAGTGACGGTCCACGACTGATGAGCGTGGATAAACATAGTAATATTGACTTGAACACCAAGAGCTCAGTTGTCCAACTTAGTTCTACGTTAGTCAAAATCGTTTTGGCTAATTCATGTAAATTGCCTCTGTCTCCTCCAATTCGCAGGTCGATCGCTTCCTTGAATTGTCGTCACTACTGAATACGACTTCGAGGCTTTTGAATTTCTCCACCTGCTCCACTTCCTCTCAGTTAATCTGAAGAGAGAAACGCGCTGGATAACGAGAAACCACAAGATTTTCGTTCTAGATGCATTCACTTGCATGTCGACGACATCACACTCGGCTGCACACCTTTCCAGGGAGCACTGAACATCAGCTTCAGATGGTACCAATAAAATAAGGTCACCTGCAGAAGGCATCTTTCTCATCTTTCTCGACTCAACATCTCCTACACCGATACAATCATCGCCTTCGCTGCTACCACTATTCCATCAACGTATAACACAAACAGATGAAGGGGCAGGACTCAGCGTTGGCGGAGACCAGTGCCAACGTTGAAAGGCTTCGACTTAACGGCATTATTCTGATGCAGCAACTGCTCTCAGAATACTGTAATTCGATGGCCCTTAGCAACTGGCTATCGAACCCATATGTCCGCAGGCATGACCACAGTCTGTTGCGCGGGATCCGGTAGTAGGATATGTCTAGGTCAACAAAACGCATGTACACCGGTTGACCGAATTACAACCATTTCTCAACAATTTGGCCTAGGGCAAATATATGATGAATGGTGCTTCGATTAGGCCGGAAGCCACGCTGCTCTTCTGATATCTGCAAATCAATTATTCCGCGGCAGCTCTTCCATAGCACCTTTGCGTACATCTTATCTGCGAGGCTTAAGAGGGTAACGATCCGACATTTGGAGCACTTCCTGTGGCTTCTTTTCTTGAATAGGGGTACAACAACCGTCGTTCTCGTGTCCGCTGGTATCTTCCCGTAGTCATTGCAGTTTGAAAACACGTGTAAGCAAATGCATGCCTTGTTCGCCTAATGCTTTGAACGTTACAGGCCAGATTTCATTTATTCCAGCAGCTTTTCCACTTTTCAAGTTTTCACAGCTTGTTTCTTTTCAGCTGCAGAGATCCTAATATCCGTTCGCTGATGCTCTACAGAAACGTCTTCCTGACGCTGCTCGGGGTCAAAGAGATCTTCATTGTACTCTCTCCATCATTGAAGAATGTCCTCATCCTCGATAAGAGGGTGTAAAGACCTGTCCTTCAGGACTCTTAGACTGGCCTTCTTTTCGCCTCGTAGGCAGCGAATGGTCTGCCAGAACACTTTGTTTGCAATGTGGACATTCGACTCCAATACCTCACTGGATTTCATGCAGGAATCAACTTTGGCTCTTGCCATTGTTTTTCCTACCGCCTTATGTGCTTCGGCAAATCGCGTGCCAGTAGATAACTGTTTGTTTCCAAACTATTTCTCGAGTGCAGCCTTCTTGTCCTGTATCCAGAAGGAAATTCTTTTCTGACTTCCAGGCGGCAGGCCAACGCGCTTCAATTCGCAGCATTCAGCGACAGCCTCGAGGACACGGTTCTTAAACAGATGTCAGATTCAACGGTCATCCCGGGAAGTGTTCAAACCGTCGAACTATTCTGTGAGCAAATTTCGCATTTCGCTCTAGTATCCTCCGAAGGTAATGCTTCGGACTTGATTCTCTGGTTGTTTCTGCCACCACCAGATCTTTGCATGGTACTGCAACTCCTACTGTGCGGCAACAACAGGGTGGTGATCGTAATCTGCACCGCTCTTAAGGTGAACATCAAGCACACAGAGTCGTAAGACAGACGATGTGATTATCAAATGGATCATCGACTTCTGTGCGCAAGCTTCCCGGTACCAGGTGTACTGATGCACTTTTCGATGCTCGAAGAAG